AGTAATGGCCTCACAGCTTTCTTGGAAGTGTATAATTTAAAGTTCTCTGAATTTCTCTGACATCAAAATAAATAATTGTTTGATCTGATCTATCTACTTTCACATAGGCCCCTTGGGTCTTAGCTTTCTATAAATAGTACTAGAGTAGTTGACATCAGCAGTCAAACTATTAAATTCAAAGGGTGCATCCCAAATATTTAGGGGGCTTATCAGCAACCCAAAATATATCTCTATTTAGGAATACTTCCTTAGGAGGCTGGCAGCCTCAGAAGCCTCGAAACCAGTCCTCTTGGTTGGTTCTGAGGGAGAGACCAAGGAGTCACACTGAAGGAGCTTGCTAAGTGTGTTATATGAGAAGAGTATATGAGAAGGCTCACAGGGGTAGGTGGTCTGGGTGGGAGTCTGTGGTTGGTAGGGCTGACCACAGAGGGACAATGAGCTTGGCCAGCTCTATTCTCCAGACCATTTAAGATTCTTTCCCTTAGCAGAGTCTTTCTCTGCCCTGGCCAAATTACACCCAGGGGTCCAAGTTCTAACCCGACACAACACACACACACACACACACACACACACACACACACACACACACACACACACGCCATTTGACAACCAGATTTCAAATTTGCTGCCCAGAGCAAGATATGTGGGCTGAGCCTGGATCCTTGGGATCCATTGCAGAGCGGGTCACAGCGTGTTGTGCCCCCTTTCCCAGTCATTCTTCCCGCCTTAGTTTACCCATCTCGGTGTGTGAGTTAGACTTAACAGTCCCCAAGGCCATCTCTGAGATTCCCTAAGGGCTGAAAGGGGCTGAAGCGTTCAGTGGCCCACTGGGCTCAGGTGGCAGCCGCTCCGCACGACCAGGCCGCGAGAAGGTGGAGGCCCAGCGAGCTCAGTGCAGTCCCCTGGCGAAGGGATCCGTCCGGGCAGAGAGCAAGGCGGGTATGGAGCAGGACCGACTGTTTCTCATCTTTTTAAAAAGGGCGCGCGCGGGATGGGAGTGGAGAAGGAAAAGGAAATTAAAAGAGTTATACCTCAAGTTTCCAACAGGAGGCCGCGTCCGCGCCGCGGGGCCCAGATAGACACCCGTCTTGAGTGGCACAAGGCATTCGGTTGTCCGCAGAGGCCCGGCTGGACCCGGGGGACTGCCCCCGGCTCTGGGAGTCAGATCTCAGGGCGCTCACGCCAACGCCAGCCGCGGGGCAGCTCAGAGCGAAACTGCAACAATCCGGGTCAGACTGCATTCGTTTGAGTCATTTTTTCCTGGCGTCTGGAGCCAGCCCAGTAGAACTGGCCCAGGCCGGGAGCCGAAAAGGGGGCAAGGGGGGAAGGGGCGCCGCCCGGCCTACTCGGAAGAAACTCCCCAGGTCTCTCGACTCTGAATCTGCAAGAATGGAGAACAAACTACCTTCTTAGGACGCAGACACAACCAACTGCCATTTTCAGAAGGGGAAAAATTGACATCCTCTACCCCCCAATTAGTAACGGTGACATCTGGAGAGAGGAAGGAGATTCTAGCATTAACTGAAAAGTTCTAACTTTCTACCAAGGAAAAAAAAATGTATTCACGAGTATGAAATTAAAATGGAATTTTAAAACATGTCAAAAAGAAACCAAATGATGACAGGAACCATTTGGAAGGTAGTTGCATTTGGAAACAAGGAAGTACACACATCCCGAGGGTCTTTGCCTTCCCCCTCGCGTTTCGCTGTTTCCAGAAGCGGGACTAATTTCCTAAAGCGCAGGTAGGGGTCTCTACGCCCAGCCCGGCGCAAGGAGCTGCAGATGCCGGGCCAAGGCCTTTGGGGTACCAGGGCCAGGGGGTCGCGAGGCTAGGAAAGGTCACGGGCGGGGGGAGGAGGGCGAGTCGGCTTTTCAGCTCCGGGTGAAATTGAAAGTAGCCACGGCCTGGTTCCGGCGTTTTCCGGCCGGGGGCCGCGCACTGGGGACCTCAGCGCCTGCGGTGTGACGTTAACCCCTCCTTGCTCGCCCGGGCCCCGCGTGAGCATTTGGCTCCGGGGGATCCGTGGCATTCTGGCATCTTGGAATGCCGGCGGGCGTGTTCGACTGTAGAATGGGATGATAACTAACCCTGGTCCTGCCCATCCTCTGCTTTCACCATGGGCTTATGTACGGATCAAATGATGCCAAGTCAAAGAGGAGTGGAACACCATTTGCACCCGCAGGGGTCAAAGCGCAGGTAACCCTCCCTGGGAGACAGCTTATCGCCTCGTTCGCCCCTAATCGTTTCAGAATTTCAGCGAGAGTGTTTGCTAGCCTATTCTCGTAACGAAATAAAAACCGAGTAACTCAGAGAAACGCTCGGAAAATCGAAAGCAGAGAGGAAGGGAGCAGGTGGTGGGGGTCAGCAGATTAGAGTGAGGGATGGAAACTGGCTGCAGGTAAACCTATGGACGCTTCCCAGACCCTGAAACCAATGCCCACGAGAAAAAAGGGAATCCTAAGTATTTGCTCCTGATTCAGTGGGATTCATCTGCGGCGCCTGCAAAGTCCCGGAATCAAGATTCTCTGAGCTACGTGCAGCTTTACACCTCTCGCGCCGAGTAGGCTGCTCGCGCGAGGCCCAGGAATGAAAAGAGGCTGAGAAAATAAGCTCCAGAGACTTCCATGTCACTGGTTTCTCCAAAGGGAGTACGGAGAGAGGCTTCGAGAAAAAGAAGGCATCCAAAAGGGCATGTTAAACTAAACGTTTATAAATTAAAGGGAGGAAAAATACAGCGAATAGAGGTTCCAAACTTCACAAATCTTTTTAAAGTTAATACTCTAGTTGAGTGCACAGTGCCCTTAAGGAGGCGAAAAGCGGCGAGGTTGACAAGGTCACCTGTCTTAGGGGCGGGGACAGGGATGGGAGAGTCCCGGGTCAGGACGCGCGAGTCGCGGACAGTGGACAGGAGGACAGGAGAGGAAAGGGCCCGGCGGCGGAGTGCGGACGACACCACGGGAAGTCAGGTCGGGGATATTCACATTGAGTACAAAAATAACCGTCATTTGAATACAAACAACTGAAAAGTGCTACAAGTTTTAACCTCCTTAAAAAAATAAAAAGAAATAAGGGAACATTTCTGCGAAGGGCTGCTCTCTTCTGGGTCGGGGGCTCCCAGGAGCTCCCCAGTTGGTTTCGGTCCTGGACCTCAGAGAGGGAAGATGGGGAGGGAGGGGTTGTCTGCCGTGCTCTCCGAGGCTCCCTTCCTTACATTCAGCACCCGGCAGGGGGTCCCCACCTGAGCTCCGACACCAGGGAGGGGTGGGACAGAGGGCCCGAAAACCAAACCCTTCACGGTTCAGATCAACCCCTGGCCTGGGGCTCCTTGGGGCTGCAGGGTTGCGCACCCCTCTATTACATATGCAATGTCCAAAAACAATAGATATGTAAATACACATAGATCGGTAGCATGGATACCATGAACTAGCGTGGCCTAGCGCACGAAGCTCCCAGCAGGCCTGAAACTCTGGGGATTCAGGCTACGTGGTCTCCAGGAGTTCTCTCTGCTTCGGGGAAAAGCCGCCCCCGGGCAGACACAATCCCAATCCAACGCCGTGGTGACAATAAATAATGTCTAAGGGCTTCCAGGTAGGTGCGGGGTGGAGCAGAGCCCCTGGGCCATGGAAGAAGGCGCCCCCCTCCGGGCAGACTCAGTCGGGTTGCCAGGGCGCACGTCCCGGATAGCAGAGTCAGCGCCGGATTTCATCCTCCGCTTGCCCCCTCGGCGGGGCGCCCCATTCCAGGGCACATCCCGCACAGCCAGCAGTGGCCGTGTGGAGCTGGGGCGCAGGGATCATTCAGTGCTTTGCCGCAGGCCGGCTCACTGGGTGCCCGTGGCGGCGGCGCAAGTGGAGAGGGCCCAGCCGGGGACGCAGTAGTAAGGGTAATAGTAGGAAGGCTGCAGCGGCAGCAGCGAGGGGGGCCGCAGCACCTCGCCGGGCAGGTACTGTCTCTGGTCATCGCGCACCAGCACCTTCACCGCCACCTTCTTGGCTGCGGGCGCAGAGGCCAGCAGATCAGCGGCCATCTGCCGGCGCTTGGTCTTGTAGCGACGGTTCTGGAACCAGATCTTCACCTGCGTCTCGGTGAGCTTAAGCGACGCGGCCAGGTCGGCGCGCTCGGGCCCCGACAGGTAGCGCTGGTGGTTGAAACGGCGCTCCAGCTCGAAGACCTGCGCGTGGGAGAAGGCCGCGCGCGAGCGCTTCTTGCGTGGCTTGGGCGCCACGGGCTCCTCCTCCTCCTCCGCGCCGGCCGCTGGCCCCACGCCCGCGCCGCTTCCCGCGCCGCTGCACAGCGCCGGCACGCGCGAGCCCCCGGGGCCAGAGCCGTCGTCCTCCGCCCTCGGGCTGCGGTCGCCTGCAGACCCCATTGGGAACAGAAACAAGAGCAGGTCAGAGCCGCAGAGGAGTGAGGTCAGGCCTTAGCTACGGGGGTGGCGGACGGGGATGTCCCTTGATCCCACCCGAGCAGTGGGGAGGGCCTAGAAGCCGGGGTTTTTGGAGACAAGTCTCAGAACCCTGTCCGATTCCCTTCCCGCAGCTCGGCTTGTCCTGTGCGGCCAACGGACTCGCCGCTGATCCAGATCCCTGCCCTCTCCGGGCCCCAAGCTCCCTTCGCTAACGGGTCGCGCTGGGCCTGATGATCCTCGAAAGCCTGCTCGGCTCTCAGAGCTGAGCCCTGGGGCTCTAGATGCCTTTCGGGCTCCTTGGGTTCACCCGCCTCCTCACAGTCGTGCTCACTCAGACGCGTCCTCGTAGCACACATGCGTCTGCTCCATGCAAAGGGAACGTGGGGGGACAGATCACAGGGACGGAGGTATTCGGACACTTCCGCTCCAACCACCCAGAACTGCAGCGAGGGCTGTGGCCATAGGCTGCGCCAAGGCCTCTGGGGGACTTCTCCCCCCCTCTTTGCAAAGAAGCTAGACGAGGATTGGGGGTTGGGGGTGACAAAAGGGGGTGGTGTCCCTGCCTCGAGTCCTTGGGTCCTTAGATCCTAATCTGACACCAGCTCCTTGGCTTCTTCCCCACTGTCTGCGCAGCACCCTTAGCAAAGTGGTCCAGCGCTCTGGTCTCTGGCAGACACCATTTGCCTGGGGCCAGCGTGAGGCCTACAGCAGCGACCAACCCACCCAGGCAGGCACGCGGGTCTTTCTGACCAAATGACTTGCCAACCCGTAGCTGAGGAAGTCCCTCGCCTCGCTGGTCTGGGATGACCTAAAACCGCCCCTCTGCCTTCAGCTGTCTGCTGGCTTTGCCTCCAGCTCATGGGTCCTCAGCCCAGCTCAGCGTTGCAAGCCCAGGGGTCTGGGAAAGCTAAACAAACCTCCCTGCCAAAGCCCGGCCAGGCAGATCCTCGGCCTCCGGCCCACTTGGACATATCCCTCGCTACCAGTCCTTGAGCTGTGGGGCCGAGCCCTAGGACCTTCAGCCGAGCGCGACCCTGCTCTCGGGGCCAGGGCCAGGGTACTGGCTAGCCGAGGTCTCTGGGGCCTCCACTCTTCCCCCTGGACTGATTTGGAGAATTGAGAAGCAGACGCAGCTGCAGGCACTGGAGATGGACCCAGGGTGCAGTGGTTCTGTCCCAGCCCCATCTGGAGGGCGTCTCGGGCCTCGCCCCAGGAAGCAGGGTCCTGAGGACTTTCTCTGTCTTCCCTTGGGCTCAGTTACCGGGGACGTAGAGCAGCCCGCGCCAGCGCGCAGAGCTTCGGGATGGGCCAGCCCCTGGGCCCCAGGGCGCAGGGTGCTCACAGCAGGCCCACCCAATAGGCAATGCGCCCTCCTTATCCAGCTCTTTAGCCCGGGTCCCTTCCCCGCGAAGCCTCAGCGAACCTGAGACGCTGGCGGACATCTCGCTGTCGCTCCGACCCGCGGCTTCCTCCTCCAGGTCCTTGGTGGCGGGAAGCTCGCAGACCGGCTGGCGGAGGCCCAGGGTTCCCCCCGCACGGCTGGCCCCGCTGGCCCCCGGCGCGTCCGCGCAGCGCCGCGCGCCCTCGTTCTCCTCGCTCAGCGCGGAGTCCGAGTCCCAGCCCGCAGGGCTTTCCGCTGTCCGCCCCGCAGCCGTCCTGGTCCCTGCGGGAGACGCCAGCAGAGAGTCCTCGGTGCCCCCCAGC